GCTTGGGGAGGGGGTTGATGGGGGAGGGGCGTCAGTGGGCTATTGAGGGGGGCTGCTGGGGGCAGTGGGAGGGGGCGGCCGGGGGGGGCTGGTCTAGGGTGTCCTCGCTCCATCCCAGGGGGGCCTGTGGGGGAGGGGGCTCACCCCTTGGACTGGGGGGCTCTGGGGGAGCAGGTCGGGGACCGTTCCATGTGTTTTTATAAGGGGGTTCTTGGTCCCACATTTTTTGGGGGGGCCCCCACTCTAATGGCTCATTCTTCCTCCCCCCGCCGCCAGGGCGTCGCGCTCCCTGGCCCAGGCCCACCCCACCGCCCAGCACGAAAAGCTGCTCTGCGAGACTTGGTGTGAGGAGGTGAGTACGGGGGGGACGGGGGGATGACCCCCCAGCCAGACCCCCAGCCCCGGAGCCCCGTCCAGCCCTAGCTGGTGTCCACTGAATCCAGCCCTCCCAGTTCTCCCTCCGGCAGCCCGTCCGTCCCTCTGTCCATCCCGTCCGTCCATCCCTTCATCCATCCACCCCTCTGTCCTTCCATCCATACCTCCATCCTCCCTTCTTCCACACCTCTGTCCCTCCTTCCATCCCTCCATCCACACCTTCAACCCTCCATCCGTCACCCCGTCCCTCCGGCAGCTTCCTGTCTCTGCCCCCCCATCTCCGTCCCTCCATCCCTTCTTCCATCCACACCTCCCTCCGTTCCTCCTTCTTTCATCCCTCCCTCCCTCCACACTTCCATCCCTCCCTCCACACCTCCGTCCCTTCTTCCATCTGTCCCTTCTTCCATCTATCTGTACACTCTTCTGTCCATCCCTCCGGCAGCTTCCTGTCCCTACCATCCACACCATCCCCCTTCCCTCCCTTCATCCTCACATCCCTCCCTTGTCCCTCCTTCCATCCACACCTCCAGCCCGTACCTCCCTTTGTCCATCCCTCTGCCATCTCTCCTTCCCTCCCTCCCTCCCTCTCCCCCCCCCCCCGCCAACTCCTCTCTTCACCCCTCGGTGCTGGTGGGGGATGGGTAGGATTTTTTTTGGGGGGGAGGGGGTATCTCCGTGCCCATCTCTCACCCCTCCCCTCCCCTCTCTCCTTGTCTCCCTCCAGGCCTATGAGCGCCTCACGACCACCCTGAGCCCGCTGAGCACGGACGGCGCCCGGCACACCTTCCGGCAGCTACGGGGCATCTCCCGGGCCGTGGTGGAGAACGGGGGTGTGGTCTCCCCCAACCCCTTGGGCTTCTGACACAGCTCCGGCAGGGGCAGGGGAGACGCGCCTGGGACACTCTGACCCCCAAACTGGCCCCTCCCACTTCCCAGCACACACCTCTGCCCCCTCCCTGAAGCGTCTGGGAAGGGGGGGGCAATTAGTGGGGTGCTGTACCCCTTTCCTTTCCCCCAATACGCTCAGCCCTAACATGCTACCTCTGGGACATAGCTCTTCTGCTGAGGAAATGCCTTAATGTGCCCCTGTTGGAGGAGGGGGGGAATGTCTGTTTCAAGGCTCCCCGAGGAGGGGGGAAATGTCCACCCTGGGGAGGTGGAATGTCTGTTTTGAGGCTCCCCCATGGAGGGGGTAAATGTCTGTTTCGTGGCAGCCCCATGAAGAGAAATGTGAGTTACAAAGGTCCCCTCTCCCCCCTGGGGATAGATCTGAGCTTTAATCAGCCATAGCTGCGTTATGTTCCCCTGATGGCCGGTTGGTTTTGGGGTGGGGGAGGTGCCAGGCTGGTGGGCGGGGTTGCCCACAAATCTTGCACCTTTGGGAGAAAGCTGGGCACCCTGACACTGATGCCCTCCCAGCAGGGGTGCCCCCAGAAATGGGGCTCCCCCGATCGCAGCCAGCATCAGCCCTACCGGGGAGCCTGGCCTGGCCGCTGTTTCCTTGTCAGTAATAAATCAAATATTTTGGATGACTGGATGAGTTACAACCAGGACTTCCCCGTGCGGCTGCTTTGGGAGCTGGGGGGGGGTAGATTTGGGGGGAAGCTGGGGTTCAGACTCTCAGGTGGGGATTAGAGCGGGGGGGCTGGGAGCCAGGGCTCCTGGGTTCTCTCCCTGGCTCTGGGAGGGGAGTGGGGCTGGTGGGTTAGAGCAGGGGGGGTGGGAGTCAGGACTCCTGGATTCTCTCCCTGGCTCTGGGAGGGGAGTGGGGGCTGGTGGGTAGAGCACAGGGGGCCGGGAGCCCGGAAACACGCGCTCACT